GCTAACTACTGCGGTGGGATGAGGAAAGTACTCCCCCATTTTAATTTTTTATTTTTGAAGCCTGTTCCTCTTTAAGCACATTCTACTCAAATTTCAGAATATCGACGAGGCCGGAGAAAATTAGGTCGGACAGCACTTTTAGGGATTTTGGAAAAATTACCAGGTCAGAGAAAAGTAGGTCGGACAATGTAAAGACACCGGAACAATCCAAACTCCGTTCTGTTGTCTGGTCGGAACTTTTCTCTCCGTGTGACCGCTCCTGCCTGGAAGGTATTGCACACTTAACCCTTATGCATTTTGTTGTGCATAAACTTGCAGAATTTTATACAGCCATAAGTATGCACAAATTTGTATGCGTAATTGTGTACAAAATGTGCATAATTATGCATAAAGTTGTGCATAATATTAGGGCTGTATGAAATTCTGCAAGTCTTATGCACAACAAAGTGCATAAGGATTTATTTAGTGTGCGGATCAGCCCATCAGAACGGTTCTAGGGTCTTGCATGACCGCAGTTTGTACAGCCTGTCAATCAAGCCGGCTTAGGGGAGAGTCGCGTAAACGTTTTCATTTTTCGGGGCAGGGGCCGGTCCTTAATATTTGCATCTACGGAGGTTTTACTGTAGTACTAGTACAAAACCACGCCCAAATGGCATTAACAAGACTTTCAGGTAGAACTTATTAGATGCCAATGAGTGAGTCAGTGAGTGCGTAGGAGCAGGGGGGCCGTCGGACGCTGATGTCTACACTGTAATTTATCTCCCAAACGACTTGCATGATTCGCCTGCTGCGCCTGCTTGTTGCGGCAGCAGGTCCTGCAGCGCGATAATGAGCCCACGCCTAGTCGGTGCATGGTCGGTGCACGAAAAAAAATGAATTGGTCGTCAGAACTAAATTAATTAGTTAATTTTCTGACAATCGGTCAAAAAATTGTTAAGGGAACGAATAATTTGTTGTTAGAACCAAGATTATGTTGCCAGAACAAGCTGTTCGGTGCTTGAGCTAACGCATTCGTTCTAAAAAGCAAAACTACTAATTGGCTCTGCAGCGAAGTGCTTTGCTTTAGCAACCAACAATTGGCTCTGACTATTAGTTACGACAGCTAATATTTATCGACCGTTCCGAAAGTAACTAATAATTGGTTGAGATGATCAATCTTTTTTTTTTTTCGTGTGTGTGGTGCGGATGTTTGTGACAAAATGTCAGGTTAGGGAAATATACGATGGACCTTGACTCACCTTTTAAAACTCTGTTTATTCAAAACGATTTGAGCTGACAAGCCACAGCGGTTATTCCGAAACCTGCACACCCGCTCTCCCCGTCTAGCGGAGTGCTTTTGTGCTAATTTAATCGTCCGAAAATGTCTTAGTTAAGATAGTTGCAGTGCATCACTGTCGGTTTATCTCCCGTGTCGGTGGGGATCGTCACTCTTTTCTTGGGGCTGGGCGGGATGCTCCGTCCGGCGCACTGGCAGTCGCACACCTCCTTCTCCAGGTAGCACCAGTCTTTGCAGCCTCTGTCCCCGGCGCAGCTCCCAACGCACGCCTCCCTTCTATCCCGGCACTGACTGACCGTCAGCCGCCCGCCCGCCGGCTGCGCGCGCTGTGCGCCCGGTCCGTCCCCGGGGAAGGACAAGCACCCACAGCGGCAGCTGTCGCGGCACTGGGACACGCACTCTTCATCTCCCTCGAGGCATCCGCAGGTCGCATTGTGGCACTGCAAGACGCGTGGTGGGTCAGTCAGCTGGAAAATAGGGAGGGGGGTGGGGGTGGGATATGTAGAGTAGCGCGAGACTCACCGACCGCACGTAGGCGCACAGCTCCAGTTGCGCCCTGTCCTCGGTGGCCGTCCTGTACTCGGCAGCGTCAGTGCTCTTCGCTGCGCCGGCCCGGCACTCGCACAAGCAGTTAGCTTTGTACGCCGAACACAATTTTCCTTGCTCGATGTTCCCTACACCCCGCATACAATTGTACGTGGCCTTGTAGCACATTGCATCGCACAACTTTTCCGCCGGGTCGTGTGGCGGGGTGGTGCTGGGGAGGCCTGCGCAATGACATCGGCAGTCCTGCTTTTTCAACTTCAAGCATTTCTCTCCCTCACCGCCACACTCGTCCATGAGGATCTGCCTCGCACCCTCCTCGCACTGCAACACGGAAGGTGGATGGATCAGAAGGGAAGTGGGTGCTGCCTGTGAGCCTCGCTGAGAGAGCTCAGTGGAGCTGGACCGAGACGTACCTCTATTTTACATTGCCCGTTATTCTCTCTCATGGTTTCCCCGCATATGGTGGCCGCGGTGATCGCCACGGCCACACTAGCCTGGGCGCGAGTCAGCTGCAGGCACTCGCACTTGCACGTTTCCATGTCCAGCAAACGCTTGGCAAGGCATTCCTCATCGGGGCAGACCAGAACAGCAGGAAAGTATTTCGCGAAGCAGTCCCTCTTTGTACCGCACTCCAAATACAGCCCCAGGTCCGTGCCGTCGATCTCGTAGCCCAGGCAGGCACATGTACATTTTTGCTGGCACCTAAACGCGCAGCTCTCATCCTGCGGCATGCACTCCGCGCAGGTCACGTTGTGGCACTGCAACAAGGGGAGTAGAGACTGGCACTTAAAAAAACACTTTTCAGAATTTTAAAAAAGTCGTCTCGGCGTCCTCACGCGTAAAAGACGAAGGTGCGACGGGCCGGCAATTAGCCGGTCCACTCGGGTTTGTACCTGGTGTAACTGTGAATACGCAGCAGTGTTGCGGGATTGCATACTCAACCCACACCACTAGTTTCAAACGCAGCTGCGTATTTCTGAACTCACGCAATTCTTGCGTATTTAAAACGTATACTGTGCGCTCCACCTGCCCGCATTTACGTGCTAATAAATTGCGGGCGAGTACGAATGAATACGCAAGAACGGCACTAGCCCAGAGAGGAGCCAGTAGGTAGAGACGTTTACGAGATTATGCTGTGCACGGAGTCTCACTTGGCGTTCTATTTTGCACATCCACAAATCACTCCTCTCCTCAGTCGCTGAGCGAGTGCTGGCCGTTTTGCCGGTCGTGCTGGTGGTTCTGACGGTGCTGGTTGGGCTGGCGGAGCTGACGGCGCTGGTCTCCGCTCTGCTGTACTTGAGCAACAACAGCAGCAGGGCTAGCAGGACCGGCAACCCGTTGTGCGACATGTTGGACACTTGGAAGGTGCTCAGCGGGCGACGACCGAACAAGCTGACGGAGTATGTACTCAGGTCTCCCTCGGTGGCTGCTCGTGTGGCTGCTGGCGACTGACGACTGCTCTTGTTGGCTGCTCCTCTTAACAGCCCTCCCTCGCTTATAGCGGCGTCATGCGGAAACCATACAAGTCATGATCGGAACTGGTGAGCTGGTCCTCGTCATCGCCGGATGCTGCGAACAGAAGCGATATCATAATCTCTCCACCTACCGCTCGCAGCCGCCGCGTTTCCTGGAGGTTTCGCCAAAATATTGTGAATTGTGAATCGGCCAGCACCAGTCACAGAGCGCCTGCTGCGGCGCGCTTGGAGGCCGGCGTCCCACCAGAGCAGCACACTGTAAAATGATTGGATTCTTTGCACCGTTGCAAAGAATTTTCGTGCTCCGCAATTGCAAACATTAAGTTCGTATTGCAAAGGAATGCTTTGCGAGCTAGTCGGGATCATTGCAAACTGTGTGTTCACTGTAAACACATGGCAACAGCATTAAAAACAGTGAGAAACTGTTAATCGGAATATCTGTGGTACACTGTTAAATTGTGGTCTATCCCATTGTCTACAATGAATTTCAACATTGTCGGACTGACTTCCGTACCGTACACCGTAGGATAGAACACAAAATTTAACAGTGTATACCACCGTTAATCCGTATTAACAACAGTTTCACACTGTTGTTCGAGCTGTAGATATTTTTTTTACAATGTTCGCATTGCAAAAGAAATATTTTTTTTCAATCTTTCGAAGAACTAGTTCGCATTACAAAGCTTCACAACATTCTTTGCAAAACGAACGCGTGTACTTTGCAAGCGTTCTGCAGAGCAGTGTGTAGACGGTGGACCGCTCTGAGGCCGCTTTAAGTCAGCATTTACGAAAACAGACTGATTTTTAGTTTAACCGCGGGAAGCATTAGGGTGTTCGAATGAGGAATAGCAGGCGGCTCCTTACAGTCCAGCGCGCGGGAACCGGAAATTCGGACCGGAAAGTTTCCGGAAGCAGAGAGTCGGCAGCCGGATATTGGCACTCGCTTGGCCAACAACAACAGGTTGTGCTGTCTGTGTCCCGTCGCCTGTCGGTCCCGCTCAACTAACGCAACGGACCGGGGTCTCTAATGTGGTTGCGGTTTGTGCATGTGTGTGTGCGTGCGGTTTGTTTGTGTGTGCGGTGTGTGTCTGTATGTGTGTGTGTGTGTGTGTCTGAGTGAGTGACGGAGAGAGAGAGAGAGAGAGAGAGAGAGAGAGAGAGAGAGAGAGAGAGAGGAGAGGAGAGGGTGGGATGGAAGGCAGAAAGCGGTGTTCGATGGAGAACACTACTGTATATGCACACTTGTGCACGCCCAGCACCACCAGGGAATTCGCGTGCGATATTACGGTACGGTTGTGTATGTATCGTGTATGCGCGCGCTTGGAGGACGCTCGACGGAAAAAACCAACAACAGTGCAACGACTGCACACAATCGTGTGTGGTATTCTCGGCCTCAGCTATACGTGCGTCACTGGAAAGAGGTATGACGTACTGTTTGGGATTTGAATGTCTTCGCAAAAGCATTAAAAAGTGAACACCCCTATTAAGACATTAAAACTACCCAAAGCAGGTTCTATAAAACTACCCAAAGCAGGTTCTATAGATATCAATACGATTAGAAATTTCCCTGCCTTTCCGTAGGCATTACAAAATCCCTCTCTTTCCTCCCCGGCGAAAAGGGATTTTGCAACACTGTAAAATGCTTGCAAACTATATTCTTTGCAACGTTGCAAAGAATTTGTGAGCTTTGTATTGCAAAGAATAACTTCGGATTGCAAAAAAGTTCTTTGCAAGCTGGCAGAATCCTTGCAAACAATGTGTTTGCATTGCAAAGAAATAGTTTG